AGTTCGAAAGCGTGTGATTAAAACGAAATAATGTGCAGACTAACCGTTAAATTATTGCTTGCTCCCATCGAAAGTCTAGCGGGTCAACCTTAGTCAACAAATGGTTAGTGTAGCAAGAAGATAGCTGACACTTCGGAAATTCAATCAATGACTTGCGTTAAATGCCAGTCAAAACATCCATTGAAAAACATTAGTCTTTAGCTTTGCACATGTTAGATGTTTAACTTTCTCAACGAATGCGCGTCGCTTCTTAATTGAACAGAAATCAATACAAAGCGCAAACAAGACAATCAGTGGCAATCAGTGCGTGCCCATGAAATAGAAAGAGTCAATAGAAAGTCAAAACGCCAATTAATCGACGCGGTTTTATTATTAAATCTGCTTAAACAGAATAACGAGGTCTCTTTCCATAACACAGTTCAAATGAATTTAACAAGGAACAGATATTTGGGCAAATAGCACACATTTCTTCTGCTAAATTTCTGTTACAGCTTTGACTTAGTTTCCTGTTCAGTGTAGAGCAAAAAAAAATCGGTAAACATACAGACATACAATATGGAATCTGGATGCTATTCCCTTGTCCTTCCTCAGCAACTCCGCTTAATTGAAACGGAACCTAATCCTAAATATTTACAGACTTGCTGAAGAAACCCTGCGAAAGAATGCAGTCAGAAATATTTGGACCTTTCTTTTGTGTATCTGTTTCTTTTTCGTCAATTTATCTACTACTTACCGGCAGCACTACTGCATCGAGATATATAAAACAATCTGAGGATGAGAAAAATTACAAAGATGGCATCTTAGGCACATGATAATATCTCTTGCTCATGAACTTCATTTTACTGCATCCAAAATCTAGGAATGGATCTACGTAAATGTAAAATACTAAGAATCCAAGCTTCTCGGATCTCAAACCACACCCTCTGCATTTATACTGCACTTTTATCCCCTCCTATCAAACTGTCAATTTCATAGGTATCATTCTATTACCTAACATAATATGTCATTAGAGTATGATCAGTGACAAAGGTTAATCGAGCTTCATTCTACGTTAAATGACTGAGAGACCTTCATACACAACATCATACTAGTAAAGAATTTGCCTGTAAATCAGAACAGCTTTTTCTTCACTGTTGGCGTACATTGAGCATCAGACATCGTTGATTTTGTTACTCGGTGCTTAACCCTGATATCCCAGGTGAAGATGACAACAACGCAACAACAACTTCAACACATTTAAACGATAAGTGAAACAATGAGATTTTGCGCAATGATTTGCTAAATTTGTTATTGATTTTGCGACCTTTCGCATGATTGGCACGGGTCAGAATGCCATGAATAATGTCTCTAACCCACGACGTGAGAAGACTGTTACAAATTTACTCAACGTTAGCGAGTGTTTCAGTCCAAACGGCGTTGAACAGACGATAAATAATTCCAATTTCAGCGTGAATTATATGAATCCGCTTTTACGTTTAACACCACTGTAACCTGCAAAATGTGACACGATGCGAATCCATCTTGATTCATTTTCCGTTCGTTTTCCATCTTCACTCGCTTCCGGTCCTGCAGCGGTTTATTGGAGGTGTGGTTGCTTACCGAAATTTTTCATTAGCTCCAAGCGTTAAATGGCACTTTTTCCATAATGTGCACATTGTTTTGTGTCGTTAAATATACTTTTTATAACCTGAAAATAGAAGCCTTTTGCGAACACATTCAAATAATTAACTTTCATTCACTTATTCACTAAACAAGTTATTTAGTCACTCGTTCACTCATTAATTCGCTCGTTCATACTTCCATTCATTCACATATTGTTTCAGTTCCGTTCTTTCATTGAACTGGTTGTTCAGCTTAGTGCTAAAAGCCGTTTCAGGTTCTTTATAAAGCATCCACTCCTAAAACTTTCGAGAGGCTACAACATTTTGGGATACAATGGTATGGGAACGATAAGTTCATTGGATAAAATATGTGCTATCAACTTCGTAGGTGCCAAGTTCACGTCGCATACGTAACGCATAAATATTTCTTAACTGCAAATTCCCTTAAGATATTCGCTCCCTATTCTTTCCATGTAATCAGGAGAAGAGCGTCGACTTGCGAATAGCAAGGACAACGTGGCGTGGCGCTCTGACGTAGTTCTACTAGAGGTATGACTAGGGTGTTGTCTCGAGTACTTCGTAAGGCTGCAATCGCTTTCACTCCCTTGACAGCTAACTACACAGTGTTACATTCAGCGCAAAGTGGATAACCATGCACTATTTATCGTCTTCTTCGCTTTCAATGGTCGTTTCTTCTTTTGGGTCGCGGAGGTTCCCGATCCTGTGCAAGAGTCTGAGCTTCTGTAGAAGACTACTGGAGTTGGTTTATATGGATCACGCGCCCTCCACTTCCAAATACTGTCGCTACTGTTTAACCTTAAATTTGCATCACTTAGACTACCGTAAGATTTTTATAACCGTACATTTGTTGTTGCAATTTTCTGCATATGCAAAGTTTTCCCAAATATCTCTAGGTGATTCCATCGTACACAACCGTGGGCTCGCTCGGAGAACTGCGCCTTGCCTTAAAAAAGACATGAACTGAAAAAAGTAATACTTTCGATCAAACAACTTGCTCTTTGACATATTTTGCTTTAAAGTATTTTGTTTTCAATCAAATAGCGAATGAGCGAAACTTAATAAAACAATACTGAGACTGTCAATTTAGTACTTATTTATGTTTCCGTAATCTGTTCAATGACGTTCATAGTTGGCTATTTAATAAATATTTAACCTGAGAATCGTTTCCGCCGGTGCGGCGATTATCGGTGATTGATTATTGGACGTATAAGTTTTGTTGGCATCGAAGGCTCTAAATTGTTTTTCAGCGGCTGACGGAGCTCGTATCGTCGCTTGACTGCCCGAGTAGTCTAGTGAAAAACCGTGGGAGACGTCATTGCGTCGTCGTTTGCCGTTCAGTCAAGGATTTCGCATGTAAAGGCGATTTTCTTCGTTGTTCCATGCCGTAAAATTGCATATAGGCGATTTCAGGAGACAGAAGGCAAGCGACTTGCGAGCTACTTTCTGGCATTCGTTGAGGTCCTCGACTCGACTTCTGTTTATCCGGCTGTTGTCTGAGTTACGTGCCACAACGAGGTCTGTCCAAATCGGGTCGCCGTCATTCGACGTTTCGTTAAAATCTCCCTTCTGGTCGCTCCTTGCGTCTTTTTCGAACTTGTAACGAAGTTTCAACAGTTTCGAAATCTTTTTCCCATTCATAATTCGCCTGCTTCCGGGGTTTGAAGCCACTGCCACCGTCTTGCATGGCTGAAATCCTCCGCGAAGGCTGGCTGACGAAGTCGCCACCGGAATGGAAGTTCTGGAATTCGGTACGTGTCGAGTGCTTTTGTCTACTTTCATCTTCTTTTTGCAATATCTGTTCTTTTTGTTTTCGTCGTTGCCTAAGGTTGATAGAGCTTCAGTAGCTTGACGATGACTGGTAGTTGAAAAGGGTGGACCTGCACACCATTTAACAGCGATTGCCGCTACCGCATAGCTCATATTTTTCGTACCAAGCAGCTCTCTCTGATCATAAGATACTTCCAGTACTATATACTATCGTCTGCATACCAGAGAAACGTTGTTTGGAATTATTTTATCAGACCAAGCCAGGCACCAGATTTTCATATTTTCTGACATTTCATTCAGTACGCTGGTGGGGGTGGGGGGTTCAGCGTTTATTGGTTCTTGACTTGGGCCTACATCATGGACACCGCTGTTGGAAGCTGTGGAAAAGAGCTCAGTGACGTTTCAAGCAGCAGACGTTTGCATACTATTAGAGTGAATACGGCTGCCGTCAACGTCTCTTTCTTCGCAGACGTTTTTATAGCGTAATCTTTCCATAATTTACATAACTTATGCCATGTTTACTTTTGTTCATATTTCTGCAGTTCCGTTTCGATACTCCATTCGTTGTTCTGCTTGCTGAGACGAGGAAGAAAAAAGGTATAAATAGGATCTTATGGAAATTGAGGCTGAAAAATGTATTTAAGTGAAGGCTTTGTAACTCACAATGGTTTTCGTTATTCGGTGCAAATATCTCTTTTTTAGAACAACATCTTCATATCATTAACCATAAAGTCGGAAAATATGCTCATCTTTGATCTACACAACATGGCATTGGTAATTTCCGAAATTGACTTAATCCTCCATTACAGGTTTCCCTTCTTGTTTTATTACTGGCAGCAAAAAGCTTACTGGTTTCAGTTATTATGTTGCTTCCTTCCAGTTTAAAGTTATCGCAAACACGTAAAAGCTACTATTTAACAAACAGTGTGAAACACACTTTACGAGGAGTGTAGAGTATCACATAACAAGCTTTTAAATTTCCATATGTTTAATCTTAATGATACTGACAAACTTATGACTTCGCTACTTGTTGAAGTAAATGGACTGAAGCTTTAACAGGTATGAAATTATGTCTGTGTGGGACAGATATTTGTGCAACGGCAACGGGAAACCAAACAAAGAATAAAAATTGTTTGGAGCACGTTTGGTTTTAGTGGAGTCATTCGTTATTTCACATACTTTGGCGTACGAAGAGTTTATGAACACTACCCGATACCATATAGCGAGTACCGGCTCCAGAAACATCGTGATGAGGGCAAGGTGGCTGTAACGGGCGAAATCGTTTAGATGCACCTGGCACTGCAGGTGCTAAAAAACCGTGGAGCCATAGCCACCTTAAATATATCCCCTCACAAAAGGAACTATGACCAAGGGAGCAGTGCAATACGCTGCGAAATCTGGTCTTGGAAGAACCATTGGTTCCTTGACGTAGTGCGGTGTACGAATAACTTATGATGATGGAGCAGATTTGCATGATTTCTGTTGGGGAATCAACTTCCGTGCATGTGTGCTCCATGTGTTAACTTAAGGATGCGAGACGTGGACTCTAAACCTGAAAACTATTCGTAAACTTCAAACTGAGGAGCATCGCATGGGAAGTTTTATGTTGGGACGTATAACAAGAGGGAGGAGGAAGACAAACGAACGGGTAAGAACACAAATAGAAATTTGCGATGTAATTACAGGAATGAAGAAGCTGAAGTAACATTGGACAGAATGAACCAGTTGTTGTTGAACTAAAGAAATATTAGACCGAATTCTAGGAAACAATGAACGGTCTTTAGGAACACCTCCAGCTCGATGATAAGCCAGCCAGAAGAGTTTGCTTCGTCAGTTTGGATCAGAGACAGAAAACAGGTTTTTGGCAGTGAGTTAGAGAGCTTTCATCCATCAGTGGGTGGAAAACGACTAATAATGATGAGGATGATGGCCTGACAGATCAATGGTTTCAGGTTGTCTAACTTTGTATCATCAGCTATTTGTTTTTGAGCGTGGGAACCTTATAGGGGTTTAGAAGAGTTCCTCTGTCTGGGACAGTACAAATTAGTGTGTTCATTAATTCGTCTGAGTACATCGCTGTTCCATATGAATTGCGTGGACAGCTTTAAAATACGTTTCGGACTAGCTTCTGATTTGCGGACTGGATCCCAAGGCAAAACAGACGAGGTATTCAGTCGTATACCTTAGTCGTTTGACCTTACGTCTGCCGCTAAGGTCAGACGTATGAGTTTCTACGCTGTCATCGTAAGTATGTATCGAGTCCATTCTAGTTTCGGTTTTGACCTGGTAAATGAATGATTTAATGGCTGTTGAATTTTTTATTGCCGTGTAATGAATCTTGTCTGATTTTGCCATACCTGAAATTTTTCATTTGTTATTCAGCACCCATAACTGTTGGTGAGAGTTGATAGGTATACAGATTTGAAAGCAGATCGGTTCATCACACAACAGCTCAGCTGCTTCTTCATCAACACCGACCGGTTTAGCTCCCTCTGCTATCGGCATCGCTAAGTCGACTGATTCGTTTATCTATTTTCACAACTTGCCTGTCCTCAGTTATTCATGAATGAGTTCCAATACGTCAAAGTTTAGACTTATAAAGCTCGAAAGATTTGCCATCTCCAAGATGTTCTTGTTTTTCTCTGAGGGTCATGGCTCTCAACGAGAATTTACCTGATACTAAAGCAGCTACAGGTGTTACATGTTCAGGATGAAAAGAGTCAAGCTTTCGAGCAAAATTGTTAACTTCTAAGCCGTTTTTCAAACTTTCCTATGATGTATAGAGTTAGCAATAATTCCTGTTTTTGTCAGCCCGGATTCACATTTTCAAGATGTTCAAAATTCAAGATTTTCAAGATGCGTATGCTAAGACGAATATGGCCACACAGCAATAGGACTGTCGCGGGTTTAGTGGTTCTCTAAGTTATTGCAACACATTCTTAAACTGTAGCTAAAGCGAACGAGGCGGAAGTGCGGTGAATTGTTTACTCGGCTTCGAACGCTTTCTTAGTCCGGCCAGAAGCAGTGAATGGTAGTTAGCTGGCTTTTCGCGTCAATCGTCTTGTGTAAAAAAGAAAATCTGCATCTGTCCTTATTACGACGGCCAGTGTCACAGGGAGGTGAGCAGCACACCAAAGCGCATATGCGGGCGAATACTCTCCAAGAACAAGTTCTACGGTTTATCCCATCCTCGATTGCTCCTAGTTGCATAACGAGGATATTCAATCAGAACACTGTTCCACGTGTTTGAGCACCTGTCGTGCATCTGTATAGGTATATATGTATGTACCTGTGTATATATATGGTTCGTAATTGAGATCGTGAAGAAATAGGCTTTTTCTGAATTTACTTTTACCGTCTTGTAGCAATGGATTGAGACATGGTGATCATGAGGACGTGAAAAAACACAGTACCATATTTATGCACTGGTTTAAAGACAGTTCCTTAGGCCTCTCTATATAACTTTTCACCTACCGTCTCCAGAAATTGATTTTTTCGGCGAGTTATGTTCGAAATCATCGAAAGCTGTTGATTAAGTTCATGTGCTTGAATAACTATATAACTTATTAGAACATAATAATTGCCTGTTTATCTAACCCAGATACCTGGTCAACCAGAAAATGATACGCCGTCTTAAGCAGCTCAGCTGCTCAATGTTTGCTAGTCATTGATGACTGCAGTGATACATCGACATATCCCGGGTATTCTGGATTCGCTAGCAGACTGCTAATTTTCGATATCACCGGTTAGAATTATAGTCTCTATCGGTTCTTTGAATTTATGTGCAGTGGCGCAGTGTATGCGCATTGTCCCCTTGCGTCTAGTAGCCTTGGAGACCGTTTAAGCAGGTACGGCAAAAGAACATTTTACCACTTGCAGTTTGTGGATGTCAAGCGGCAACACTGTACAACGCCGAAAAGAGTGCTGTTCGCACATCTACCTAAATATTATAAAGTAGTTTCCGAACGGGTTTTTATTTAGCCTTGCACAGTGATGTAATCTTGCATTAATGCGCTGCGAGTGCTAAAACCCGTGGCCTGCTTAAACGGCCTCTTAGGATGCTGGAAATGGTGCCCATGCATCACGTAAGTTCGGAGAATTGTCAATATATTGCTATAACTTAATAGTTTAGTCACATCATTTAGCTAGCTGCAAAGTTTGTTATTTATTTTTTTAGAAATGGAAGAAGCGATACTTTGTTCTTTCTTCGGGCCAGCTTCCCGGGCAATGCAGGCTGTTGTATTACATGGACAACGCTAAAACGCATCTGCGGGGTTCGATTAATTTGGACCAGTGCGAACAAGTAAGAAACGTAGTCGCTGTCCTTCTGCCTCGGTATCTTGTTAATGTTTGTTAGTATTTAATCGTTTTCTCGTTGGTAGACACGTAGTTTATTATTAATACGCTGTGAGTTCATGACTGTGATGTTCCGTTCTGAGTTAATGATTTGTTCGCGCTCTCTTCTACAATTGCGATATGCTTTCTTTTGTTCCTTCCTTTCGTTTAGTATTTTTTGTTTTATTTGTATTGCTTGTTCTATTTAATCCTTATTAAAGAATGCCATCTTCAGTTATGTAGAACATGGAGTACCGGAAACTGCTTGATCAAGAGCTTAATAATCTGCTTAGTGGGTGAGCTGTTTGAACCGTTTTCGCCGTTTCTTTTGACGCGGTCGCAACTTTGATATATATATGCCTTGTTACTTTTGTGGCATATGCTCTGTGAGCGAATTCACTTGAAAGGACCAGATTCACTTGACAGTTTTGTCACTTCTGTTAATTATTTGTCTGTTATTAATAATTTCGGTACCCCAAATATAACGTGGCATAGGCTTTTCTCTATTAGCCAGTTAATTTATTATTACCATTTATTAGCCAGTTAATTGATATAGTTTATTAGCTTGAGTGGCGGATGCCTTCAGCGCAAGATGTTGCCGTCACAGCTTAAAATTGTATATAGATAATAAGACTGTACATGATAAAACATTCAATACGAGCAGATGGTTTTACATTTTCCGTGTTTTATGAAAAGACTGATTATAGTCAGTTACCTGGATCGTGTGGCATTTTTATGTTTTGTGCAGTATATGGGCAGTATTTAGATAGCCGATTGTACCTCCTTTCACGTCTGTATTAACTCATACTGCTTGAACGCCTATTGTACATCAACTTTGAAACTGCTTTTGAATTCAGATAACCTGTGACCTGATTTATTCACAGTTCTACTCTTCTGTTTTCCTTCATCCGATTTGTCGTCGTTTGCAGTTCTTTGTCAATATGTGCACTTCTTCCTCATCCTCTTCTGAATTTCCTCATCATTTCGGACAGTAGCTTCTCTCGTTCACACTTCGAAGCTTCTGAAACTGCTTCTGATTACTTAACTTGCTTTTTGCAATCCAAACTCTTTGCAAAAGGGGCACGATATCGAATCAGAAAGGTCAGAATCGAGTCCGCTGTCATTTTCTCTACTCCCTTGCCTGTTTCCCAACTTCTTTTTTATATTCGTCCTTCGCTTCTACATCTCTTTCTGATTCTAATCTCTTTTGTATGGTTTTTCCTTTTGTTTTTTCTTCGCTTCCCTTCTCTACCCTATCCTATTCTCTTTTCGGTTTTACTTCTGTTTTTCGTTCCCTCCTACCTTTCATTCCTTTGCCGTCGAGTTCTGGTACATTGATTTTCTTAATCATTCTTTTCACTACTGACATTTTTAGAATTAAGTTATATTTCGTTAACAGTATGGTAATGTCGACTGGTAAAGTGCCGTTTATTTGCTCTCTGCTCTGATATTCCCGCGTTGTCGCCATTGCGACTGTTGACCTGGGTTTTTTTTTTCGCGCACTGCTCCTTTTCTCATAAGAGCTCGCCAGCTGGACGACGGCGCGCCTACGAAATACTGCTGTATGTCGAAGGCCTTGCCTTAGGATCAGAATCACTTACACTGACATATGACGACCTCTACAAATGCCACATCGAAAGCAGTTTTTTAGGTTTACGGCGCCAGATCACCTGTGCATAATCGAAAATTAATAAAGGTACCTAGCTGTGTTGACAAGATGAAAAACCACTCGGTTAATATTCAGATTAGTCGAATTTTGAATGCTGGCACTTCAGAGATCACCTTTAACATAGAAGTAATAGCTGTACTCAATGTTGATAGATTACTGAAAGGTAATCAAGTATGCCCTCATTATTCCCTATTTGTCACGTGGTGTCTCAGGGCAACATCAAATTTTTCAACTCTGCAGTTGTGAAAGTAACACGGAAGGTCAAATGTGCCATCGGTCTTCTCTAAACGCGTATGGCTGCTTTGAACCTACGTTAACCAAGGTTATCTCTACTTTTTGTTTCTGAAAATTCATGTCGCAGTTTCAGTGCCATCAGATGGTCATCTTATTCAAAGGTTTTTGGTGATGTGGAAGAGTTTAATTTTCGGAAAACAACGACATCTCAGCCTCCCCTATTATCCTTCTTCGATGCGAAAACATTTCTCTTAACAATCTTCTCTAATCGAATTGTTTATGAATAATGCAAAGGAACGCATTAATCAGCTCATTCATTTTAAAACCCGTAGTTCCTTTTCGGTGGAGAGATGGGGAGGGCAGCTGCTACAGGCGCTTTTCCAGTAGTACCG